TCCGCTCAAAAACTATACACCGGAAAGGCATCGGAGCAAAGATGAAAGAAAATATCAACTTACCTTACTTCTGAAAACTTCGTACTCAAGACAACGAGTTTTGCAAAAAATTTCGTACTCAGATTGGCGCCGGCTACGAGTTTCTCGCGTCAGTACGAGATGGCGTGAGCGCACAACCAGCGTTTCGCGCAAAAATGACGAATTTCGTACTCGTAGTCGTACTCGTACTCCTTGCTAAAACTCTCTAATCTCAGGGCGCATACGGGCGCATTGCGCGTTAATGAGCTAGACAAGACACAAATCCACCATCCACCCTGATTTTCAAATATTTATAAAAATGGGGTGGTTTTGTACCCCATCAGGTAGTAAGGTATAGTTTTACTCCAGACAAGACACAAATCCACCCTGATTTTCAAATATTTATAAAAACGGGGTGGTTTTGTACCCCATCAGGTAGTAAGGTATAGTTTTACTCTAGTCAAGACACAAACCCACCCTGATTTTCAAATATTGACAAAAACGGGGTGGTTTTGTACCCCATCAGGTTTGAAGATATTACTCTATAGGAGGCGCAAACCCACCCGTATTTTTTAGTGTTATTAAGGGGAAAACGGGGTAGTGTGCAAAATATAGTTTTGGCGCAAAATTTAGAATTACGCGCGTTAGTCTAGGACCTGTATATGAGTTTGTATGCGTTTCATTTAGCACAGGTAATCTCAACTGTTTTAGGGTAAAATGACCATGGCGGTCAACATGGCATATGTGCCAAAAGCTGAATCCGGGACGAAAGTCCTGAAAATGACCCCGCCCTGAAACGGCAGTGTCGACATAGCTCTAACTTCAGAAAACAAAAAGCGATAGTCTTTCTGAAGTGCTTATAGTGTTTAGAAGGGTTGCTTTTAGGGGTGGTCATTGGAAGAAAAAATTTGTCCAAGTATAATATTTTACAAGAAAATGACCATGCACCACCCCAGGTAAATTGCTGATTATGCATAAAATAACTAATATGCCTGGCAGAAATTAAATATTCTTATTTCCTAAAAAAAATTATCATGGGGTTAAAAACTATGCTTAATTTAATGTAAATATTGTTGATTTCATAAGGATTGTCATTGTTTTCTTTAAATATAATAAATTTTATTTCACTTACCCCCCACGAAAACGCGATTTCAGCCATATTTTGCTGTCTTGTTTGCTTTTTATCGCCGAATCACGCAAATATCATCCAGTTATTGTACTTTTACATAATCATAAATGGCTGAAGAAGATTTCAAAGAAGGTTTCATCCACTTTTGAAACAGTGCAGTGTATTTTATCTTCGATAATGTGTCCTTCGATATCTCGTCAAATTGCCGCCATTTTAATGGCTCGCCGCTTCTCTGCCCGATAAATGCCACTTCTTCGTTTTCATATGTATTTAGATTACATTATCCAAGAGTACTTCATTGTAGAATAGTCCCAATCCAAAAATTGGAAATATTATTTGTACTTGGGAGGAAAAAACCTCCCAGTACAATTGTCCTGTTAGAATTCAAAACAAATAATTTAAAAGTCACGCGCAAGTTCGCGAAAACACCTCGTGGGTTACATAACAGGGGGGGGTGAATATTTTCACGAAACGTTTGTTCGCCACCACAGCACAGAGTAAGGATATACAGAGGCGGAACTCGAGGCAAATCCATGGGCAAATCATGTCCCCACTTTTTTAATGCGCATGCGCGACCCTCTGGCAAGTGTCATGCACATTTTTTATCAGGAAAAAGATAGGGAAATGCAAAATTTTGGCAGTAAAACGGCGATTTTAAGCGCAGTAACCGATCAATCTTCATTTTCTGCACGAAATTGCAAATAAATGGCACACTGCGTCTTCTTAGCTAAAGGAAATTGAACGAATACCATTTTTAACGGCGAAAATGAGAAAAGACACCCGAAGGAGTGAGAATTTCTGGCAATCTGAAGATTCGATTCTGTAGACCTGAACTCCAGTTGGAACTTGGCAACTTTATATGTGAGTTTTTTTTCTCTAGCAAATATATATGAAATTATAAATATATTTTTGTGAAGTGCTATGTTGTATGAAAGGGTTGTCGTTAATTTAAACATTGCATAAACAGCATTCAGATACGAAAAATATGAACATCAACATTCAACATGGACTGATGGACTTGGAGCCACAGTACTCTAAAGTTCTCATATAGACTTTATTTAACTTATATGTTGACCCAATGGTGAGGGATTGGTCAAATTATACTTTATAGTGATTCCCCTAGACCAGTGCATTGGTTATTGTGCAATGACAACCTTTTTTTTGGCTCTCAAAGGTCAATAATTTCTCAAACATGCCAAGTCTGTACATGTTTAATAATCTAATCTGTTTATTTTTTATTTTGCTTTTCTAGATTGCCAATCATTCCTGTTGAACTACATTGTTCATTACAATGAATCAGATGCAGATTCTTACAACTATGTTAATTTGTTCTTCTGATTGGGGAAAACCTGAGACTATTTGATCTTATATTGGAATGCCTACCAATTTTACATAGCCTCAGGCAATGTTTATATAATTAATCTTGAGTAATAGAGATGCTGTACCCCCTGACGGAGTGACCTTACTACCTGGATCATCCCACTAGGCAAGACAAGTTCAAAACTTTCCATGCAAACACTTGCATGGCAGTTGCTATAATAGGATATGAATATAGTTTTGCCTTGCCAGGGTGGCTCGGGGGGGGGGGTGTAAAATTTCCCTAGTACCCGGAGACCATATAGACAGGCCGTCGGATTACTGTAATAGTTTAATTGAGGTTCAAAAAAGCAGCCCCCCCCCAAAAGTGGTAGGCCTGCTCCCCAAATCCAGCCCCCCTTGGAAGATGTACTGTAAAGCTAGACAATTTTACTTGTTAACCCAACTTTATCATTCTGTCTAACACCGGGCGATCCAGTTAACCCATTGAGTTGCATTGCATGTGCCCTGATGCACCCTACTTTATTATTTTACTCTGTCTAACGCCAGACGATTTTACTCGTCAAGGGGTGGGCACACTTTAACAGGCAAAGTATTAATTGGGAATACTTTCTCTTTTAATGGGAAACTCTTTATCAATAAAAGGAACAATGCAATTATTCATAGTATTTAATTTTTCATATAAAGCAAAGACTGTAAGAGGAAACATGGATCATTGGCTACTTTTTTATTTAGTATTAATTTTCATGACAACATGTGGGGTCAACTATGAAGGAAACAGTTATTGCCTACTTTGGAATAAAAAATTTAGAATATAGCAATATTCATTGACATTGAACACATATTTAATTTATTTAGTTTTTGAATAATTTAAATTCTTAAATGTATATAAATGTGAAATAAAATAAACAACATTTATTAAAATAAACTTTGTATTTTTAAACCCCAATTACACTGTTGTATTTACATTTCACTGTTGTAGTATTTACACTGTCAGTAGTAATTACACTGTAGTATTTACATTTCAAGACCTTATAAACCAACATCATTCCTTGGAGTTTCTCATGACAAGATGTCTCAACCAAGATCCTCTGGAGAACTTCTTTGGCCTCATTAGGCAGCAGGGGGGGGGGGGGAATTGTGACAACCAACTAGTTCCATCCAGTTCACCAGAGCATTTTGAATATTATTTGTAGATAATATTTTGACACCACTTTCAATTGGCACCTGTGCTGAAGATTCTGATGCCTATTTGATTGCATTTCACCCTAGCCAATCTGATTTATCTGCAGGAAATGATCAGACAAGCCCACCACTAATCCAAGCAGTTGAAGATACCGACTACAAAACAAATGAAATTGAACAAAACTTAGTCTGCATGAACTTATGTGTCAGGCTATTTATTAAGGAAGTGCCTTATCCAACATAGCTGCCCAATATGCCATCATAATTTTGTGACAAAGGATGTCAATGACAGTAGTCTCTGCTATTCTGCATGTGAAAGACCTCTGACCTTTGAAGGCATAAGCATGCCTTCAAATGCGGATTAACAATCCGTAAAGAAACGTTTCTTTGCTTGAAAATATATTTGTGAATGTGGTTATTAGTTGCACAGAAAGTATTAAAAACATAGGTAGTTTAACTTTTAATTTTTGCTCACAAATCGCAAAGCTACATGCATGGAACCTGATGGACGTGTTTCAAATCACCACCTATGCTTTCTTATTAATGTAAAAGACAGGAAAGCAATACGTTTGGCCCGCATTAATTTAGCGAAATGGGAATCTGCTTCTTGGCAAGAACATCACAAGCACCGAGATTGTAAATTGTAATATACTATTTTTTCTTTGTATTTAGCCTATAAACGTATATCTTTTTACATAAAAATAACCATTTATCTTTCAAATTTGAGTCCCAAAATGAAGATTGGTTGAGCAACTTCGCAAAAATATTTATTTTTCTACTTTCGAACGGTGTTTTCCTATGCTTTTGACTGAAAACACGACGAATGACACTTGCCAGAGCAATTTGCGTGGCGCGTGGAAATGACGTTGCACGGGGACACAAAGAACAAAGGAATCGCCGCGAGTTCCGCCTCTGTATACTCTGTGACGACAGGCCACAGCAACCTAAGTTAGGTACATTATATTTATTGTATATTTGTGATTTTTGATAAAAAAAAATATTTGTGTATATTTATCATCAATTATAAAAATACAAAAAATATAATACATTTAGTTAGGTTGCTGTGGTGGCGAACAAACGTTTCGTGAAAATATTCACCCCCCCTGTTATGTAACCCACGAGGTGTTTTCGCGAACTTGCGCGTGACTTTTAAATTATTTGTTTTGAATTCTAACAGGACAATTGTACTGGGAGGTTTTTTCCTCCCAAGTACAAATAATATTTCCAATTTTTGGATTGGGACTATTCTACAATGAAGTACTCTTGGATAATGTAATCTAAATACATATGAAAACGAAGAAGCGGCATTTATCGGGCAGAGAAGCGGCGAGCCATTAAAATGGCGGCAATTTGACGAGATATCGAAGGACACATTATCGAAGATAAAATACACTGCACTGTTTCAAAAGTGGATGAAACCTTCTTTGAAATCTTCTTCAGCCATTTATGATTATGTAAAAGTACAATAACTGGATGATATTTGCGTGATTCGGAGATAAAAAGCAAACAAGACAGCAAAATATGGCTGAAATCGCGTTTTCGTGGGGGGTAAGTGAAATAAAATTTATTATATTTAAAGAAAACAATGACAATCCTTATGAAATCAACAATATTTACATTAAATTAAGCATAGTTTTTAACCCCATGATAATTTTTTTCAGGAAATAAGAATATTTAATTTCTGCCAGGCATATTAGTTATTTTATGCATAATCAGCAATTTACCTGGGGTGGTGCATGGTCATTTTCTTGTAAAATATTATACTTGGACAAATTTTTCTTCCAATGACCACCCCTAAAAGCAACCCTTCCAAACACTATAACCACTTCAGAAAGACTATCGCTTTTTGTTTTCTGAAGTTAGAGCTATGTCGACACTGCCGTTTCAGGGCGGGGTCATTTTCAGGACTTTCGTCCCGGATTCAGCTTTTGGCACATATGCCATGTTGACCGCCATGGTCATTTTACCCTAAAACAGTTGAGATTACCTGTGCTAAATGAAACGCATACAAACTCATATACAGGTCCTAGACTACGTTTATTCGGACGAACCACGAGCAAAGTATTTACAGCTAGCATTCAGACTTGACGGTAGAGGTTGAAATGAAAAGATATCGCCGGAATTTTCCTTCAAAAGTGAGTGTATGTTCAGAAATATCATTTGAATTTATTTCTGGCAGAAATCTGTATCCCGTATTTGTTTCAAAATCTTGAATAACAACGCTATAATTCTCTTTTGTGTTCATTTAATATATGCAAATATCTTAATATATCTACAGAATATAGCACACTCGTGTCAGTGTCGTTAAAAACTTAATAACAGTAGCCTAAATTTTGAACGACACAACGATTGTGGTATATTCTTTGATAGATATATGCACACTAAACAGAAAAAAGTAATTTGGAGATTGCCATTCATGTCTATGTTCATGCATGTCGTCTATGTCATTGTTCCCTGAGTAAAATTATAAGGCTATTTTACAGTGCAGTCAATCCTAAAAATATTGATTTCTATTGATATATCCTGCTGGAGTTATATGTTTTATTAAAACGATTCGTCGAATTAATTAATCTTACAAAACTAAACATAGATCAACCATCAAATTTCATTTACTTCTTGCACCTGGGAATGTTTCAATGTTTGTTTTTACATTATATTTATAAATGTGGGTAAAGAATTGCATTTCTTGTGGAAAATGAGAAGCTGATGGCCGCATCTTAAAACTTTTTGTGGATCTATTAATGTGGTCCCCACCCCTCTAGAAATCTCTCCTGTCCCCCTCGCAGTGATAAATCGAGTTTCCTCCCAGAGGGAAAGTTGACAGTGTGGTTAGGATTAAACACAGTAACGTCTAGGCTAAGTAAGTAACATGAGCGAAATACTTGATGTAATCGATCACTGAAAAGCTCCAATGGAGAGTGAGCTGACTTTATTATTTTACGGCAAGTACAAAACGCAGGTTGCAGGTTGGGGATTTTGCAGGTTGGAATTTTGCAGGTTGCCAGGAACTTTGCAGGTTGATGATGCAAACTTAAAATTACACCACTATAAAGTATTCTAGTTCCTTGTTGGCGCTTTTGATATCAGCCTATCCTGCTGCCATGTTCCTAGCCTCTGCTCTAAGGCTAGTGGCCCCCATGAAAACATTCAAAATGATCAGATTGGCTTGGACCTTCAGGGGGATGAATGTTTTGATTGTTGCGAGGAGCCTACATGACATGGTGGCAGTTCAGAAAATGCCTGAATGACTGGTGTCTCTCCTCTGCATCCACTTATGAGACCACTCAAGCTCCCAATTACCATATCATTACTCGAGAGTTAGTTAACCTTTTAACAACATTCTAGTATAAATGCCGCCACATCATGTCAGCACCTCGCAACAATCAAAACATTGGTCTCCCTGTAGGTCCCAGCCAATCTGGTCATTTTGAATGTTTTCACGGGGGTGATGGCCACTAGCCTTAGAGCAGAGGCGCCGACAAGGAGTCAGACC